TACTTGTTTCCAGTGTACAATTCTGTGTGTTTGGTTGCTTATACAATTCTGACGTCAGGGTAATTTACTGGTTGATGCTTCAGTGGTCGATGGTTACCGTCTCCGAGTCCTCTTTCCCATCAATTTGAAGCTGAAAGCTTTACTTCTAGTAGAGTAAGTTGAATTCATCACTTCTTATCAATGGACTTTGTTTTGTTCTGCAGTTGAGTTATTCAAGTGTTTTATTTCTAGGATTTACGGAGTGTTAATCAGGTTTCAAGCCATAGAGCGAGTTTTAGTTCAAGTTTGAGTGATGGTGATAATTCATATCGTCGTGGTGGTGTTGAACATGCTTATTCGTTTGTTGGAATGCATTGCATCTTCGATCAATGCAAATCTTCTGGTATTTTATTTATTCATCTGTAATTCATTAACTCACTTTGTGATTTTTTCTTCTAAGAGTGAGTCTGTTTAACTTTTATACAGTTACTGTTCTCAAGTTTGGCCACATGAGTTCTGATTTACTTGCATATGGAGCATCAGATGGAAGCTTGACAGTTTGTAGTCTCTTAGAAGAGCCTTCTGTCCTTAAGCAGTTGACAGGGCACTCTAAAGATGTCACAGGTTCGATTGACTGGTACTGTTACCTTTGTCTTTTCTGTATCTGCTACCCTGAATTGATCTTGAAAACTCTGAGAATATGATGCATGGTACTTACTTTCTATGCTTTGTTAGGGGTATGATTTGAGTGGAAAATGTGAAAGAAATTATCTGTAATGGATAAAGAACTGGTTTTTGATCCTATGTCTAATATTAAAACAAGCTTCTGACTTTATTGTTTCTTGAAATACTTTCAGATTTTGACTTCTCGTCAAACAATCAATACATCGCGTCATCATCACTTGATAAGACAATACGGGTATGGGAGTTGTCAAGAGGCGTTTGTATTAGAGTTATATATGGAATCTCTCCACAGTTTTGTATCCGTTTCCACCCTGTAAGTTTGATGTTCTTCATCATCTATTTATTTTTCCCTTGTAACAACTTGAAACTTGTTGTTTTGATTGTGAAAGTCGTCTCATATAAGATACTGAGTGAGGCTGTTTGTGGTTTTCTACTTTTCTTTTGCTTCTCCATTGAAGATATTCCATTTTGATATTTTCAACAGGTTAATAACAATTTCCTCTCTGCTGGCAATGCCAACAAGGAACTCACGGTAACTGCACTACTCCTTGTAGCTAAGTAAATTTGTGTATTGCTTTTTTTGTCTTCGAATTGTTTACTTATTTTATGCCTAACATCTCTCTGTTTGACAAAGTAGGTGTTCAATTTCAGCACTGGGAGAATTATTAAAAAACTGTTGTTCGAGGATGAGGTGACATCTATGGACCATGATCACACTGGCCAAATCATTTTCTGTGGAGATGGGCAGGTAACTTTTCTCTATACTGATGTCAAAAGGTAAACTAGGGAGATGGTCTGTTATGGTTATGGTTGGCTATGTTCTGGTCAAGACTGACATCAATATTTTCATTGTTCGGTATGCTAGAAGGGGTGACATGATGACTTTGATTGTTAACTAGATAAAAATTTCAGTGGCATTTCTACATTGTTTTTACAAGGTAGTTAATAATAATTGCAGGGAACTGTATATTCAGTGAGCATGGATTCACATACAGGTTCATTATCCCGGTCTCATCGCCATCGTACTAATCACAAATCTCCTGTCACAACTGTGAAGTACCGAAGCTTCTCCCTCCTGGCATCAGGCCCTGTTTTGCTCACATGTACTCAAGACGGAAACTTGTGTTTCTTTAGGTTCGGCAACAGAACTTCTTCTCCTTTTGTTTCGTGATTTGCTCACCCTTTTTCCTTATTGATCCTTATAATTGATTGTTCTGCTTTGTGTTGGTGATATAGTGTTGCTCTTCAGATAAAAGGTTATCTGACTTTGCGTTGCTCCCTCAAATTAGCTCCGCGAATACACAGAATCCAAGCATCGTTTTGCCCGCTATTATCCTTAGAGAAAGGAGAATACATAGGTTTGAATTTCAATCCTTCATTTACCTATTATCTTGGTAATAGTAGAGATGCGTAGGTCTCTTTAGAAATGCTAGTCATTTGCTCTACATTTCTTCTTGTTTGAAACTACAGTTGCTGGAAGCGAGGACTCGAATGTCTACTTCTATGATCTAACCAAACCAAAGCACACATGTGTAAACAAGCTACAGGTTAGACAATTTGTTTCTTATATCGGATATTTGTGTAGGAATTAAAAATTATAGTAAACCGGACTCACGAGTTGTGAGAAATGGATGCTGCAGGGTCACAGGTTTCCAGTAATGTGTGTTGCGTGGAACCATGGTGAGAACTTGTTGGCCTCCTCTGATTTCTATGGTGTTGTCATTGTATGGAAAAGAGCAAAGACAAGCTCATAAGGTTTGTCTATAATATTATAAATGAATCTAAATCCGCCATTTTTGCCAGAAAGGCTTTGGGTTTTGCTTCATCTCTGCGCTATCGCTAATCTCAAACTGTGTCAATTTAGTTTCAAGTTTGTTTTCCCGTCTCTTATAAATGATATGGTTGTGTGTTAATCATATGCACAGATTTGATAGCTTAAATGGTTGGGACAGACGCGTCCTTAATGAGTTAATGACTCTTTCTATAGATAAGTTGGTAGACATTTTGAAGAGATTAAGATAATTGAACTCGCAATGTTTTTTGTTTTGTCACATTATCATGAAACAGATTAGTTAGCAGTAAAATTAATGAAGATTACATTAACGACATTCCATTGTAGTCTAGTTGGTCAAGATACTCAGCTCTCACCCGAGAGACCCGGGTTCAAGTTCCGGCAATGGGGAGTATTTTCTTTTAGTTAATGTAATTAAAGAAGAGCTCTCCAGAAATCTTGGCTTAATTTTAAACCAAGCTGGTTCATCAAATTTCCCAACCAAAAATCTTCGGCTTCATGTCATATTCTAGGCCATGTGGGTATTCGGGTCGGGTCTTTCGGGTTCGGGTTTTTCGGGTTTAGAAATTTTGGACCCGTTGGGTTATATGTATAATTTCGGGTCGGGTTCGGTTCGGGTTCACTTCGGGTCCGGGTGATTCGGGTATTGGTTAAAGAACCCATAAATAGCCAAAATTATTTCGGGTTTGAGTACTACTTACCCAAACTTTGTCCAAATATACCCAAACATACATAAAAGTACCCATAAAACCCGAAAGATCTGAAATTTTAATAAGTTGTTCCTTAAGACAATAATATAAAACAAGAAGTAAACCTTGTTTTGAGTTTGTTCCATAACTTAAATCATTAACTTTTACCAAAAAAAAAAAAAAAAAAACTTAAATCATTAAACAAGTCACAAATTCAAGTTATTAGTCCATATATGTCCTCATATGTGTATATATGTTCTGATAATAAAAAGTACTCACGGGTATCGGGTTCGGTTCGGATAATATCCGATACCCACAATTATTTGAAAACAGAACCCGATCGGATAATTAGCCGGAACCGAAGTAGAACGGATTCGGGTATTTCGGGTCGGATTCGGTTCGATTCTTCGGATTCGGGTATTATGCCCAGCCCTATCATATTCTTTCGATTATTATCTGTCTATTTTCCATTATTATTTTTGTTATTATTATTATTACTATTAAAAGTATTAATAATAGGAAGGGTTGGTTGGTCGTATATTATTAAGACACTCTTCCCTATCCACTGACTCTGTCCATTGTCCAGGTCTCTCTCTATCTCCTTCTGCCATCTCTCTGTCCCAATTCAGACATCTTTCCCTTCTTTTCCTTCGCCACCCATCATTTCACGTTCTTCACTTATCCACCCCAAATTATATATATTCATTACTATATCTTTTTTTTCACGTTTTTATTCTCGAAATTTGCACTGTAAATTTTCGGTTTAAATGAAATACTTATGTTTCAACACAAGAATAAATAAATTAACTGTGTATATTTCGTAAAATTCATCCTTTTTAATCGAAAATAACTGAATCACTTAATTCACAAAAATGTCTATTTTGGTCTCTCCATGCAAAAAATATACACATGTTAATTCGAGTTTTTTTCATTAATACCGTTGTTGTCTAATGTGTACTACGTCCTATATAACCTTTCAGTGTAGTAGTAAGAAAAAGTGGTGGTACCACCATTTTCTATCACACTAACATTTACTTCTTAGGCTCTTACCACCATTTCGTATCACAAATGAGACTTATTATAAATGTCTTGGAGTTGAAATCTACTCAATTTGTGTCTGTTTCTTAAATCGTAGAGTCCTCCATGACAAGATATGGACCTACCCTCAGTGAGAAGAAAGTGAAAGTTAGAAAAATTGTGGAAAAAAGGAATTAATCCATAAATACCTAAACTCTGTGGGCACAAGAAGACAAAGCTAAGTGGGAAAAAGGCCACTTATTCATTATTTATGAGAAAGGGATAAGAATATGTGTTTTAGTTTTTTTTTTTTCCTTACAAAAATAATTGTATGCAAATGCAAATTATATAGTAGTATTGTATAGCTATAGCATGTGGACCATCACAGATATTATTTGAAAGAACCAAAATTTTCAAATGTTAAAAAGTGAAATTTAAAGACAAAGAAGAAGAAACTGTAAAAAGCTTACCAAAAAAGTGAAATTATTTTATTGAAAAGAAGTTGAAAGTATACATCCGTGTGTAAACTTTGACACGTTGTCTTAAGGGCTACTCAAATTATTCCCACTCTAATAAAGATGGACTAGTCTATAAGAAAATAAAATATCTTTGGTTACAAATTGGACATGAATTATTTAAAAATTGTATTGCACCAAAATTAGATATGAAAAACGTCCATTAAAATTTGTCTTATTCTCCAAAACTATGCTTGACAAACACATCATCTTAGAAGAATTAGAATATCTTTATTTTGGTTAAGAATAAATATATCAATATATCATATTGACAACTAAAAGAAAAGTAATAATATAAAAACAATGAAAATGATTGTATGGTGGTTATAGCTTCAATCAATTTTATTGCAGCAAACAAACAAAAAGGCCAGGGACACGAAAGAGAGATAGAGAGAGGCATTAGGGTTTAGGATTACGTTTTAGAGAAGGGTTTAGATCTCTACCACTACCAACTGGTTTGTTAAGAACAGAATCTCCTTAACACATTTTTACTTTTTAAAACATTTTGTTTTTGTTTTTGTTATCTTCACCAAAAGACTTGACTCCAAGAAACAACAAGAAGAAGAAGAAGAATCAAGAAGCAAGTTCAAGAACCAACCAGCTTTAAAGAAGTATTCATTATCTTCTACCTCAAAAGGAAAGTTAAAAACTTGCTTTAGGGAGATGGGTCTTTTGTTTTCTTGAATCTTTTGTGTGGGTCAAGATTTTGATTTAAGGAGGGGTTTGTTATTAATTTTGTGTTCTTGGGATCATCAAGACTTCAAAAAAACATTTTTTTTTTCCTTTTTCAATTTGAGATTTAGTGTCTCCTTTAACACCCACAAAGCCAGCAGATGCTTTACTGGTAATTCTTTAATCTATCCTTTCTTTTTCATTTTAAATTCTTTAAATTCATGCAGAGAGATAGATTCACATGTTTCATTCGTTCAATTTCTAAAATTTTGCTTAATTAAGATTTTATTACATAATGTGAGTGAAGTAAAAGGGCTTAGTGTTGATTTGTGTTTGATTCTAAAACAGATGAATCCTTGTTTGATGGTTATGATCTAATCATACGAAGAAGAAGAAGAAGACTATGGCAACTTATTACAAAACTGGCTCAAGTGAGATTTATTCCAGACCAGAATTTGTCCCTGGAAACGCAATGAGCTACACAAATTCTTTCTCAGAGACTTTTCCTAGAGAAGCAACTAATAATGTCTCAGCTTCTAAAGAGATTCAAGTATTGTCAAGTCTTGGTGGAGCTTCACAAATGGTGGAGATTCAAGATTCTGGTTCTTGGAGAGATCAAGAAGACAATGACAGGAGTCGCTTCCCGGTGATGATGCGTCTTGGCCTCAGCTCGCAGATTGAGACATCGAGAGGCACTAATAACAATGAGTATGCAACACAGGTTGTTTCGGGATTTACTCGAACCATTCATAACTCAAAGTATCTCAAGGCTGCTCAAGAGCTTCTTGATGAAGCTGTTAATGTTAAGAAAGCTCTGAAGCAGTTTCAGCCACAGGGAGACAAGATTGATGAAGTGAAAGAGAAGAATCTTCAGACGAATATTGCTGAAATCCCTCAAGCAGAGAGACAAGAATTGCAGAGCAAGTTGTCGAAACTTTTATCGATATTAGACGAGGTAAATTCGCCTTAAAACATATCCTCTATGCTTGTAAATGATTGCTCTTGATAACATAAAGTGCTGTTTGATTCTTTGTTGTTTAAAGGTGGATAGAAATTACAAGCAGTATTACCACCAGATGCAGATAGTTGTGTCGTCTTTCGATGTAATAGCGGGATGTGGAGCAGCCAAACCATACACGGCCCTTGCGCTTCAGACCATCTCTAGGCATTTTCGTTGCTTAAGGGATGCGATATCCGGACAAATCTTGGTGATAAGGAAAACTTTAGGAGGGGAACAGGATGGATCAGATGGGAGAGGAGTGGGGATAAGCAGGTTAAGGAATGTTGATCAACAGGTAAGGCAACAAAGAGCGTTGCAGCGGTTAGGTGTTATGCAACCTCACACTTGGCGGCCTCAACGCGGTTTACCTGATTCCTCTGTTTTGGTTCTCCGTGCTTGGCTGTTCGAGCATTTCCTCCACCCGTAAGTTTCTGTACTACACTTGTGAATTTCTTCATTGATCACAAGGGATTCCAACTAATTGTGTTTTAAACCACTGAACTTAGTTATCCAAAGGATTCAGACAAGATCATGCTCGCTAGACAAACGGGGTTGAGCCGAGGCCAGGTATTGCACTTAAGCTTTTGTATCTTTTCTCTCACAGAAGGCTTTTCTTTTTGTTATGGTCATTTTTCATTGTTTCGTTTGATGATTGTTAAAAGGTGTCGAACTGGTTCATAAATGCGCGTGTGCGTCTCTGGAAACCGATGGTGGAGGAGATGTACAAGGAGGAATTCACAGATGCATTGGAGGAGAATGATCCCAATCCGTCTTCTGAAAACACACCAGAAATCACCGACATTCAAGAGCAACAAACTGAGTCTAGTTCCAACAACGGACGTGTATCTAGTGTGCCAAGCAGTAGCATTGGACAAAGCACGGTGGCCCGTGGTGGTGACCGGTTCATGATGGTGACTGACATAACAAGAAATGGTAGTGGTGGGATGTCTTTAACATTGGGGATTCAGAATTCCGACAGCGATGTTCCTATGTCCGGTGGGATAGATAACTACGAGAATACTATCCCGGGAACCGATCTCCAATACTTAAACTCTCGCAACCACCAGCACCGGCTTGGCTCTTCACAATTGTTGCATGACTTTGTAGCTTGATGAGGAGAATAGAAAGGTGTCGAAATGTATTCTTTTGTGAAAGTAAACCCAAAAAGACGAAATTGTAGATTAATGAGAAGACATGAGAAGGTGAACACAATCTAAGATTAGATACGATTTGTTCTTCCTACTTTAATGTGATAGACTAATTATATGGTCAGAGGCACATGAGACCAAAGGTTTGACATTGAAACTACACTTAAAATGCTAAAATTCTTTCAGAAAATTCAAAAAGGATCTTCCCGAAGTTATCTTATTGACAGACTCCTAAAACCTAAGCATGTCCAAAACCTGAAGAATTCTGTCTGCATTATTTCTGCGTTTACCTGAAAAATGAGCATTGCGGAAGTTCACCAACAGAGAAAATGTGACGTAAAGAGTTATGTGTGGATCTGGTCAAAACTGACTTTACCTTTTGTAGAGAACTCTTATGTCTTCTCTTAAGGTAGGACTTTCAAGGAACATATCATCAGCATCATCCACATCAATTGTCTCTACCTCAAAGTTTCGGTATCCGCAGTACTCGTTCCACTCGAACCACATCTTTGAGATGACTTCCTTTTTGAAGCAAGTGTTGTGATCCTCCTCCTCAGGTGATGACCCAGCAATCAATCTGTATGCATGCACCTTCTTTGTTTGTCCGGGTCGAAAAGCCCGCCCGATGGCTTGGCGTGTCACAGAAGGGTTTAGAGGACATCCAATATCAGTATGCGAGATGCTCCAACAAGTGAGATTCCTTCTCCACATGCTTTTATCGAACCAAAGAAGATTTTGGCATCTGGCGAATTGTTAAACCTTTCCATTACCACTCACGCTGCTCAGGACTGTATCGCCTTAAGAA